GTGCAGATCTCCACTCCGGGCTAGTTTGATGGTGGCTCTGCGTGGAAGGCTGATGGGCTGTCAAGAAAGCTGATGGATCTCCTGACACTGGAATTTTCACCCTAGCAATACTTGGAAGGCTGTTAAGCCTCATATAGCTTATAAGCCTATGAAATCTTTAAATTCCTTTTGGAGTTAATTAATGTATTTTTTTCCCAAGATAAAATACCAAGTTACCTCTAAGGTCATCATCTGTAGCTTTTTATAGTAACAGATGTGAAGCACATGAAAATCACATGCCTCACTCTGAGGAAATACACCTCATGGGGGGCGGTTAGCATGGTTGGTTGACATATTTGTATTTCTTATTTAATCACATAGTCCTGTATTATGAGTCTGAATTTGTAGGATCATGTTCTGTATTTTGGGGGAAAAAAGTCTTTATCTTAATAGGGTAACCTGGGTTAAAGTCCAGATCCAGGAAAAATCAAAACCAAAAACTTGTTCACATTGACCCTGTGACTGACTTCTGGCCATATGATGGAACTCTAGGAGGAAGGGGTGAAGCCTGGGAAAAAGGGAAAGAAACAGGAAACCAGGAAACATTACCTCCTGTACATAATTTTGCCTTCTGTAATTGGAGAAGGTTTTTAAATGCTTTTTTTTTCCTTGTGTGAGCTTTCTCTCCTTTTTTTTTTTTTTGTTGTTGTTGTTGTTTCTGGTTTTGCTTTTCTATTCTTTATCTTTATGATAGTGTCTCTTCCTTTTATTCTTACTGTGTGACCTGTATAGTTTCACCAAGAGGCAGCTTTTCCTTTTATTTTTTATTTTTTTAAAGATTTTATTTATTTATTTGACAGAGATCAAAAGTAGGCAGAGAGTCAGGCAGAGAGAAAGGAGGAAGCAGGCTCCCTGCTGAGCAGAGCGCCTGATGTGGGGCTGGATGTGGGGCTGGATGTGGGGCTCGATGTGGGGCTCAATCCCAGGACCCTGGGATCATGACCTGAGCCAAAGGCAGAGGCTTTAACCCACTGAGCCACCCAGGCACCCCAGCTTTTCCTTTTAAAGCTTCCACTTTCTGCATGGATTTTACTTTTCCTGTCTCAGTCCCTGTCCTGCCATTTCTTGGCTGAGTGACCTTGGAAATGTTACCCTCTCTGCGCTTTCATGTCCTTACCCAGAAAGAAAGGAAAAAACGAGGGAATGTTAAGGTCTGTCTCTGGAGGCCATTACAAAGATTAAATAGTCTACCTTAAAATTAAAGACTAAACAAAATTATAATTTAAAATTTAAATTAAAATTTACAAATGTATATTCTAACTGAGAACAATACTTGGCCCCTAGGAATTTCTAGCTTTCCATTCCCTTACCATTTAGTAACGTTTGCTGCTCACTGACAAAAAAGCATCTATTATGTAATTCCTTAAAAATTAAAATACAGCTCTTTCTAGCAAGACAGGGATTTGACACTTGTTTGTTATTATCTAGCAATCACGTTGTGGATTGCTGTGTTCCATACTCTGGTTTTGTTTATCATTGTTGAGAAGAATTCATTTCTTTTTTTTCCACCCCCAGCCTTGATAATTTAAACCTGAGGGCTCTTGGTCTCATGCTTATAATTCCGCCCACAGAGAATTAGAGGCACTACCTTTCTGAGGATGGCCCATGTTTGTGGGATTTCTTGCTCTCCCTGGCTTCCTGTTTTCTGATCCAGAGAGCATACTTTTTCTGATCCAGAGAGCATACTTTTAAACTGCTGTCTTATTGATTTTTCTACATGCTTTTTATATCTGTGCCCAGAGGATATGTGTATCTTCAAGGAAAACACTTTTTAACTTGAATAAAGAAATAAAGATAGGTTCGCTGAGAATCCCTTCTGTGTCAGGGAACTGAGGCTGCGATCAGAGTGTGAGCATCTTTGTTAGGCCGGAGGGCTGTATCCTGGTGGTGCTGGACCCAGGGCACCCCTGGCTTACTGAAAATAGGCCTGGAAGAAGACAGAGAAGGACAAGAGGAATGTGAGAGACAGGGATGAAGGCAGAGGAGGGAGGATGGAGACAGTGCCACAGGAAAGGAACAGAGGAGCAGTATGGCAGGCAACAAAAATGCCTTCGTGTGTGTGTGGGTGTGTGTATTTGGGTAGGATTAGATGGATGTGAGGAAAGGAATAGAAAAATCCACATCAGGATGTTAATGTGTCTTGAGGTGAGAGGAGAAGGGGGCATATAAAACACACAAAACCCCAGTTTATAGGAAATGATCTCATTTATGTAAAAAGTACATGCTTATATAGTAGATGCAAAAGAAATGAAAGAAAACGTTTTATCAGCTGAGGTTCTGGGGGATGCCAATGGTAGGGTGTCAAATGAAAGATCACATTAGGAGATGAGGGGGCTGGGCTGGAGAATAGCATGGAAGGAGCTGCATATTGTGATTTTCAGTCCTGTTCTCAGGTGTTTGTGATGTCATTCTCTGGGTCACATCCATTCATATATATGTATGTGTCTGTATATACATGAATATGTATGTTTGTATGCATGCACATGTAATCTTTTGAATAGATGAAGTTACATAGTAAACAGTGATGAAGGGAGACAGGTGCGTTGCCATGTAACCTAATTCAGCAGAAACACAACAGCCACCTTCCAGGTAGTGTGTACATATGTATTCATGTGTGTTTTTATGGATGAAGAGGAAGGTGTGGGAGACTTTAATGTTGAATCCCCCCGGGGGAATTGGGGATGGAGCAGAACCTTGTTAATTTTCAACTCTCCCATCCCCAGTGCCTAATAAAATGCACTCACAGTGATAGATAAATCAATGTTAGCCTTGAATTGAGTGATTTACCGATGATCCATGAATCTACTTTGATCAAAACTGAAATACTCTTCTTAGATTTAAAGCTCTTTGAGGGCAGAAATAACATTGATCTTCATCATTCACTGATATATTCATTCATTCATGCTACAAATACATATGAAGTACCTAATGCATATGCTAGGTATTGAACAATATTTTCTTCAGTGTCTAGCACATTTAGAAGTTTTTTTTTTAAAGTAAAAATATAGGATGTTGTGACAGTTCATCATAGAAGGACCTAATCTGTTCTAGTGGGTCAGGATGGCTTCTGGAGGAAGAGGTATTCATACTGTAAAATTAAGACCACAAAGGAGTTAGATAATGTTGGGAGAAGAGTCCACATTCTGTGTAGATGGAATAGTATGGAAGAGATGGAAGGGAGGTGCCCGGTAATGCGAAGGATGAAGACAGTGTGCCTGTAGCCTGTAGAGTAAGAAAATGAGTAGTAGGGGGTGCGGCTGGGAAGATGTGTAGGGTCTGGATCATGCAGGCCCTGAAGGCTGGGATCAGATTTCCTCCAAATTCTTACTTTGAAGATTTTCAAACCTGTAGAACAGTCTTAGGTGTTGTAGAGTGGGGCGCCTAAGTTTGCAAATTTTTTGGTACAGTTCCATTCTCTCTCTCTCTCTCTCTCTCTCTCACACACACACACACACACACACACACACACACACACACACATTTTCTCTTTGCTGAACCATTGGCAAGTAAGTTACCATGTGCCATGTCTAAAGGCATGTCGTATTTAAAAGCATGTCTCTTCCAAGGACAAAGAATATCTCTCATACATTCACAATACTGTTATACACCTAAGAAAGTTAACACTGATCAAATACCTTAACCTAATATACAATACATATTAAATCTCTAATTGTCCCAATCATGTCCTTTGCTGTTTTTTTTTGTTTTTGTTTTTGTTTTTTTGAGAGAGAGAGAGAGGGAAAGAGAGAGGGGATGGGGTGGGGAAGGCAAAGGGAGAGGAAGACAGAGAATCTTAAGAATTCCATACTGAGTGTGGAGCCCGATGCAGGACTTGCTCTCACCACCCCAAGATCATGACCTGAGCCAGAGTCAAGAGTTGGATGTTTAACTGACTAAGCTACCCAGGCACCCCTAACTTTTTTTTTTTTTTTTTTAATCTAAGATCCAGTCAGGGAGCACACATTATATGCAGATACACACTGGCAATTTGCAGGTAGGTTTAGGCCAGTTATTTTGTAAAATGTCCATCAATTTAAATTTGCCTGATTATTTCCTCATGATTAAATTGAGGTTGAATGTTTATAGCAAGAATACCACATAGGTGTTGTGAGGCCCTGAGAACTACCTAATATCAGGAGCACATGGGATCAGTTTCCGTCATGGGTGTTAAACTTGATCACTTGGTTAAGGGAGGGATCTACCAGATTTCTCCATTATAAAGGTAACATTATCTTTTTGTAAGAAATGAAGTAATCTTGGGGTGCCTGGATGGCTCAGTCACTTGAGTGTTCGACTCTTGGTTTTGGCTTAGGTCATGATCTCAGGGTCGTATGATTGAACCCTGCATTGGGCTGCATGGTGAGCTTAGAGCCTGCTTCCGATTCTCTCTCTCCCACTCCCTCTGCTTCTCCCCACCCCCAGCTCACATGCACCCACGCTCTCTCTCTCTCTCTCAAAAATAAATAAAAATAATCTGGAGAATGGTACCTTAAGGTCCTGTGAATATCCTGTTCCCCAACAATCTTTCACATAATGTTTTTTAGCGACCATTGGTTGCAAGATAACGATTACTTTGGTGATTGCAAAATGGTGATTTTTTTTTCCTTAACTATATGGCTTTTCTCATGTTAGTTGGTATTATTCTGTGAAGAAGGGCTTTTTCTTCTCCTCCAGCCTTTTCGATCAGTCTCAGTATGAACCTGTGGATTTTTAAAATTTGAATTTAAGATTTAATATGTTTTATAACACATTTCTGACATTAATCATTTTTATGTTTTAATTGCCCTATATTTGGACAGCAGGCATCTTATCGGAAAGGTTTTTGAGAAATTTATGGGCTGAGTGAGTGAAATAATAATATGAAAGTGATGAATAAATCTGTATTTTCCATGCTTTTTTTTCTCCTGAGAATCTCTATTTGTCAGTGCCAACAACACGATTTTATTTTTATTTCTCTCTAGGTCTTATGGACTAATTGGCTCTCATTCGGCAGGAACCTAACAGATAAGTCATTCCGCTGTATGTCAAGACAATGCTTGGTTTTAAGACCGCTCTGAAAATGATTAAAGTAGTATGGCAACGTGACATTGTCAGGAGGCAAGAAGCAGCTTGACAATTTCCTGTTAATCAAATAGCAGCTTGAAGGAAGCCCCTTTCCGTTAAGTAGGACTGCATGGCCAGCAGCCCCCACTGAAGGGCTGAAAATGAGCGTCCCAGTGGCTCCAAAGAAATCATGTTATGCTCAGTTGCGGGACAACAGAAATGGAGTGAAAAATAGTAATGAGAATATCCTAAGTCTGGGAGATACAAATGCCAATCAAATCATGTTGGAGGTCAGTTCCTCTCATGATGAGTCTGAGACACGTGACCGGACAGATGAAATTGGAAATGCAAATTCAAGCGAGCCAGAGAACAGTACCCATTTCAATAAGGAATTCCACCAACTTCAGGGCTTTGGGAAAGGATCGCAGGCTGGCCCTGCCAGCCTGAAAGACTTTAAATATTCCTCGACTGTCCACGGAGGACTCAATGAAGAGCACACAGTGGAGAGAGGCGCAGATATCCTACAGACCCCTCGCAGTGTTCAGGGACCAAGTCTGTCAAGTTGGAGGAACGTTATGGCAGAGGCCAGTCCCGAGGTTTTGGCTACAAGGGACGCCGACCTTCCCCGCCATGCTCCTAAGGATAAGTTGGCAAAGACCCTTGACAATGAGGAATTGCGAAGGCATTCTTTGGAAAGAGCAGGCAGCCCTGCTATGGTCATGGATGGGTCCACGAGGGAGCGTGGCGGGAGCCTGGCCTGGCAGCGTCTGCAGCCCACGCCCCTCGACTCCCCTGAAGCCCCACGTCCTGAGCCCAGGAGTGGGGAGGGGCCGCAGAGGATGTGCATCGCCCCCTCTCCAGGAGCAGCTGTTCCTCGAGCAGACAGCACCTCGGAGGGAAAGAGCGTACGTCATCCTAAACCATCTACCTCAGCAACCAAGGAGACTGCCCCCTCAGAGACCCAGATGGAGGGGGGGCATGGACCGGAAGTTAGCAACGGGAGCACATCACATTCCGCCCCTCCAGAGCCCGGGCCAGATTCAGCTTCAGCCCTGAAGGGAGTCTTGAGTAAGCCAGAAGCACAGTTAGGTCCAGGAAAAGGAGAGCTCAAGCCAGAGCTGAAATTGGTCCCACCCAAGGCTGGGCAGGAGCTCAAGTCAATCCAGGCCAGTCTGGGATGCCCCAAGGAAGGGAGCATGTTACCCCTCGAGAGGAAGGAGCCAGCTGGGAAAGCACAGCAGGAGGCCGTCCCCAGGGCCCTTGGCCTGTCCCAGGGCAGTGGCCACCACACTGGTGTGGGAAGAGGCAGCAGCGAGCAGGACAAGAGAGCAGTCCACCTAGGCGAGGAGGCTTCTCTTCCGACCACCCCTGCACAAGGCCCTGCTTCCTGGGGAGCCGAGAAGCAGCCCACTGGCAAAATGTCATCAGGTGCAGCTAGGAAGTTGGGCGAAGTGGCATCTGCTGGCATTTCAGCAGGCGATGTGCGTGTACCTTTTATTCCTTATGAGCCACCTGACAGCAGGCCCTCAGGCATCAGTGAGGATGGCGCACTGGTCAGTGGGGACATGGACAGTACAGCAGTTTGTACTTCACATCCTTCCATTGGACAGAGCAACACGGGGGTCCCTGAACCCCTCGGCCCTCAGAGCAGCAGCTCAGAAGTAGGGGATAGCAAAGAGACCACTACATCTGTTGCAGAAGATAGGAACCTCCTAGAAAATGCAGCAAAGACTAAAAGTACCCCAGGGGGAGCAGGTGCTCTTCTCAGTGGCCCGGCACCCCTCCACCCAGAGACAACTGTGAATGTGACCCACCAGCCTCCACCACCTAGTAGCAGTGTTCAGGACTCAGGCGCGTTAGGTGCGGATGCCCGGTCACCCTCGGCGGCCGCGCCCCCCACCGATAATGCGCGGTTGTTGGACACCCCCCCGAAAGTGCCTGACAAGAGCACCTGTGTCCCTGGGATCCCCGAGCCTGTCTTCCCACATTCTGAGGACACCCCTTCCTCATGGGAAGGGATGGAGAACCACCAGGTTGAAAAAACAGAAGAAAGGACAGAACCCAAGCCCATCATTCTGCCCAAGCCCAAGCATGTGAGGCCCAAGATCATCACCTACATCAGGAGGAGTCCTCAGGCCCTTGGCCAGGTAGACACTTCGCTGCTTCCGGTGGGGCTTCCTTACGCTCCGCCCACATGTACCATGCCTCTTCCCAAAGAGGAGAAGGCGGCAGGCGGTGAGCTGAAGCCACCTGCCAGCCTCTACGAGAAGTACAAGCCGGACTTGCAGAAGCCGCGGGTCTTCAGTTCTGGGTTGATGGTGTCCGGGATCAAGCCCCCAGGACACCATTTCAGTCAAATGAGTGAAAAGTTTTTGCAGGAGGTAAGAGAATATCATTGTGATGTGACCTTTCAGTCAAACACTGTAAAGTTTGTTACACATTTTCATTGTGAACTGTGAAAACAGAATATCCTCTCTTAGCAAATTGTGGATTTTGATGGACACATGTGCACAGAACTGGATGTCTTAACTAGAAGAGTTGGCAGCCAAGTGGGCATTTTTTTTTAAAGACTCTTTTTTTTTTTTAAAGATTTTATTTATTAATTTGACAGACAGAGATTACAAGTAGGCAGAGAGGCAGGCAGAGAGAGAGGAGGAAGCAGGCTCCCTGCTGAGCAGAGAGCCCGATGTGGGGCTCGATCCCAGGACTCTGAGATCATGACCTAAGTCGAAGGCAGAGGCTTTAACCCACTGAGCCACCCAGGCACCCCCCAAGTGGGCATTTTTGACCAGAAGAGCTTGACGGTCATGATGGGATGTAGCTAACATCTAAGGAGACTCATTTGAATTCCACTCAGCATAATACATGCGAGGTTAGATAAGTATGCATTTCAATTGGCTTCCATGTTTAAACAAGTCAGCATAAGTCTTTTATAAGCCAGATCAAGGGGAGGACAAGGCCAAGATAAATATATTGTTCAAATTGGTCTGACTTCATTCTCTCAGGGGGAATATTTTCCTTATGGGAGAATCTCACATTTGTACATGGGAAAACCACAGTGAATAGCAAATACTGTGTTAGGCCTGGGCTCTTTGTTTTGAGTCAAAATGATGATTACAACTAACATTTAGTTGAGCACCTACTATGCCTTAAGCCTACATAACATAACATTTCATCTTTATCAATCTTCACCAGTCCTTATAGTGATTTTCTGGAGGTTAGGATTACAGTTTTTATTGTTGTATACGTGAAGAAGCAGCTTTGGAGGGATTTGAGTAACTCAGCTAAAGCCACATAAAAGAAGGGCAGTGCTGAGGTGCTCTTCTCGCCCTCCCAGTTCTGTCACTGTGTTATCCTTCTCATTTCTGTGTGCCATGGTGAGTTCCTCTCAGAGCTCAGAAAGCACATTTGTCTCCTGAACCAATCTCCTCATGGCAGCCAGAGTGATCAGGTAAAAGCTGGGTCAGATCACTTCTCTCCCTAACATCTTTCAGGTCTGCCCAGGCCAACTCAGAACACAGGCTTAAGTATGTAGGCTGGCTCAGCTTTTAGGATGGACTCAGTCTGTCTCCTAACCTCCCCAACCACCTCTCCTTCCTCTGCTCACCCTCTCTCCCTCTGCTGCCTCGGGGTCTTTGCACCTCCCTCTGCCTAGAGTTTTACTTCCAGACATCCCAGTGGCTGACTCCTTTACTTTTTCTCTCTGTTCAAATGTCACTTCCTTGGAGAGACACCTTGCCTTCCCTGAGACGCCTTTCTCTGGTTTAGTTTCTTCTTAGTGCTTATCTCCATCAGGCGTATATACTTTTCCTGTTTTTGCTGCATCAGCTAGAATGTAAAATCCATGAGAAGAGGGATGTCTTTCTGGGTTTTTTTGTTTGTTTTATTTTGTTTTTTGTTGTTGTTGTTCTCTGCTGGATCCCCAGAGTTTAGAACACTGCTTGACATAACGATGTGGTCAGAAAATGTTGAATAATGGCTGAATTACAAACTCATGTATGTTGGGTCCAAACAAAAGTTGATCAGAGCTTCTTAGAAATAGAAAGGCTCAATCCAAAATCGGACCTCAGGTTGACTGAATATATTGACATATTTATAGAATGTACTGTTCAGCGTGGAAGTTGTCAGCTCTGGCACAACAAAAGAGGTGAATCTATTCTAAGCAGCTGATCTTGACCAAGGCTAGCACTGACCAGGTGTCCCAGCAGCTGACCGTCTGTTCTACCCTGGGGCAGGCTGCTAGCTCTGAATCACACAGCTCACTCACTGTCTTCTGACTCTGGGCCTGCTGGAGAGGCTTCCCAACACACATCTCTGCTGAGGGAATGCCAGCTAGAGAGGCTAGGGATCCAGTCTTTGCAGCAAGGGCTCATTTTGCTGTTCAGGGCTGTGTGCTATCCTGTTTTAGGTGAGCTTCTCACACAGAGGTCTGAGGTCTATAGCGAGAGGATGTTCTAGCCAAAGGACATAAAGAGTCTGGCCTTAGGCCATTGTCTCTCACCAACAGTGGACAGATTTCCACTCTGCTCTTATATATCAGTCTCTGAGCTTGGTTAATGTGAGTCTTTCTCAAATTTCTAAAACCTAATCCACCTAATTTCTGTCGTAATCCTCTTTAATCAATAGACTGGCCCTTGGCCTTTGCTCCTAGAGCTGCAACTTGAGGAAACCCAGTGGGTCCCCTTCCTGTGTTCAGGCTTGATGTAGGGAGGTCCCAAAGCCACCCTCCCTGCCAGTGAACCCCACCTCACCGCAGGATGGCTTCACCCAGTCTCAGGGGAAAGAACACATTTCTGATTAGTTGCAACAGAAATATTTTTTAATTGTAGAAGTCATGTATCTTTTTAATAAATGAGAAAGTCTTAACAGTACAAACCCAAACTGGCTCCAGACTCTTTCATCATTATTGACAGATTCTTGCTGGTTAGCATTAGTAGAAATGAAGAAGTCAGAGGAAAGGCTCTTCTAAGAGAGGGCATCCTTTCTTCATTGACAGGAATAATACAGACATTTAGAGCTTCCAGAAGTGGCTTTGAAGATCGTCTTGGACCTGCTCATGGCAGGATGATAAAATATGTGTCTCAGGGAAGGCAAGGTGTCTTCCTGGTTTAGACTGTTTTCTGCTTGCACCTATCCTGAGGTCTCTGGGGCATTTTTTCCTACTGATGCCTTCAATAATCCCTTTGCATTTTTGGTGTAAGGAGGTGGAAAGAGGGGGGAAGGGGTGAGAGGACAGGGGTGAGGTCATATACTTGCAATATACAGATGTCTGATTGGGCTGATCTCCTTTCCTACTCCCATAATACAGGGACATATGTATGTATCATGTAAGTATCTATCCAGACTTGAAGGAATTGATCTGTACAGTTGTGGAGGCCGGCCAGTCCAAAGTATGCAGGGTGGGTAGGGAAGAGGTGCAGTTCAAGTTCAAAGGCCACCTGCTGGCAGATTTCTGTCTTCTTTAAGGGAGGTCTGTCTTTTTCCGTTAAGGCATTCGACTGATTAGGTGAGACCCACCCACATGATGAACAATAATTGGCTTTATTCAAGGCTTGCTGATTTAAATGCTCATCTCTTCTTTAAAATGTAAACATCTAGAATAATCTTTGACCAAATATCTGCATACCGTGACCTAGCCAGATTGTCATAAGTTCTCTCCCAGTAGCTCTTAACCCCAATGGGTTCTCTGTGGCTTCTCAAATAAACCTTCTCATTTACCATGTGTCTGTCCAGTCCAGCCCAACACACTGAAAGCAGGACAGGACGCATATGAACTAGGGCGATCTACTAAGAACTTAATCTGCTTAATAACTAAATTCTTTGTTCTGCTAAGAACTTGTTTGTATACCTTGATTGATTTTAGGAGTTTGAAATTACAAGGATCTTTTAGCTTGCTTTCAAAATTATTTCTCTAAAAATACTCCATTAGAGAAGGAGGGAAAAAAATCATTTGGGGTGAAGTGCTGTGTATTCATAGGTATGCTGTGACACCTGTTCTATTCTGTCAGTAAAGATGAAAGAAATGAGTGTGAAGTTTTTGGTAGATTCCCTTGTCTTGTCAAAAACACACAAATTAGGCATACTTTTCACCTTCGTGAAGAACTTGTTACATCTCATCAGAGATAAACTACCCAACAAAGTGACAGGCAATGAAGTGGCTGAAATCATTAAGGTCATTTTGAGTGACACAGCATGATGGGTTTTTGACTCCCCAGTTTCCAAGAACTGAATAATTACTGACATCAGCACATTGCAGTCCTGGGAACCTGACAGATGTGGGATAGAGATCTTTTCTTCCTGAGAGAATGTACTAGAAGCAATGGGCAGTGGCACCAGAATTTTAGAAACTACAACAAAAAAATAGAGGAACATAAGTGCAATAGAAAAGCCAAAGGTTGATAGTAAGAGGGTAAGCAGGGAATGGTGAAAGTCTTACCAGAGAGCAGAAATAGAATGTCTTTCACAGGAATATAATTTGCTGTGGCCTGAATTCAGCCTATTTACTAGAGCAATCATGCATGTGTTACATTGTGATTATGATAAAACTTTAAAGGTCTAATCTTTTGTTTCAATAATGTCAGTTTAAGGGGAAAACTTTGTTTCAACATTAAAAGAGTATCAAATTAGGAGTTTTTCTCTTCAGCAGCTCAGATCAAAGCTTTATAGCCCCTATTAAAGAATATTGTTAAATGCTTGTGATTCCTGAATGGATAAATGTTTGACACATAAAATATATTATGATATAGAGCAGAGTTCACAGATTTATCTTTTCGTTCATAGCTTCTGGCACTATTTTTTTTTAAACTTAAAATAAAAATTATTTAGTTGCCTTAAATTTTTTCATTTTTAATATGAAGAAAGACTGATAATATGAACAGTCTTTGTTAATATAGAATTACATACATATAAAAGGCATATAGGTTGTGTTCTAGCCAAGACTCTTAACTATAGGGAAAAGTAACGGGATTGTTGCATTATTAAATTTAGGTAAGAATGGAAACATGATTCCTTTATTGAATAAGTATTTATTGACTTTATGTACTAGGCACCATTCTAGGTGCTACTCATTTAGCAGTCAACAAGATTCTGTCCTGGGACTTCCACTGTAGTGAAACTTATCAAACATTCGTGGACACCCCACCTTCCTAGGGAGGACAGATGAGGTGATTAACAGTCTCTCATTTTTAATTAGGTAAACAAATTGTAGAGGCCTGAAAACATATTTTTCCATCAACTGCTTTATTCTTCCAAGCAGCCTTTTCTCGCACATTCACAATGCATATTTTATTTCCTAAATAGCCCAGTAAAGACCTAACAGAAATTGGTAAGTTTAACCTGCTTATCTTAAGAGTAGGTTACTGTAAACACTTTGCCCTTCCTCCTTGGACTTTCATAATCTATGGACATTGGTTGAACTATTTCCCTGCTTCACTGAAATTATGTATTTATAGACTGACTACTTGGTCAAACTGCAATGATTTTGTAGCAATCAGATTTAAAAATCGTGTACAGTGAGTTGTTTTCCCAGTGAAATGTGGATTCATAATGCATTAGAATGGGAAGAGAGCTGCGAGGTCGTCAGGTTGTATTGTTAACTTAGAGCTGAAGACCCTGGAGCCCAGAGAAGATAAGTGGTCAGCGGTGGAGCAACTCAGTGGTGCTGGAATGGCCACTGCTGGCGCCTTGGTCCCCAGACTATGTTCCATACTCATACTGGGACGGGAGCTTCTCTGATTAAGCTTCTGCTCATTTATCATAGGTTACAGAACGGCCTGGAAAAGAAGAATTTTGCTCTTCTTCCTATACTCATTATGAAGTTCCGCCAACTTTCTATCGGTCGGCCATGCTCCTTAAACCCCAGTTGGGATTGGGTGCAATGTCCCGTTTACCATCTGCAAAGAGCAGGATCCTGATTGCGAGTCAGAGGTCCTCAGCGAGTGCCGTCCACCCACCGGGACCCATTGCGGCAGCCGCCAGCCTCTACAGCTCCGATTCTGCGGGTAAGTGATCCAACCGTTACTGCTTTTCCCAGCTGCAGTTGTAAATAGTAACTCTCTAAAAGGGCAGGAGCTAACTGATATATGAATGCCTCTCACCTGCTCTGAGAGGAGCCTTTTTCTGCTCTTCCATCTGCCTCTCGATGCAGGTAACTTGTCAAGACTCCTCCGTCTGCACCAGTCATCCTCCACATCACCTTTAAAAAGGAGGTCTTTGTGGGGGTGCCTGGGTGGCTTAGTGGGTTAAGCTTCTGCCTTCAGCTCAGGTCATGATCTCAGGGTCCAGGGATCGAGCCCCGCATCGGGCTCTCTGCTCAACAGGGAGCCTGCTTCCCCATCTATTGCTTTGTCTGCCTCTCTGCCTACTTGTGATCTCTGTCTGTCAAATAAATAAATAAGATCTTTAAAAAAAAAAAAAAAAAAAAAAAGGTGGCCTTTGCAACCACTTCCTCACTTCCTGCGATTTCTTCTTTCTCTGATACAGCCTGTAGGCCAGGGGCCAGCGGAGCTTGTCTGTAAGGGGTCAGATGGTAAATATTTTAGGCTTTCTGGGCTATAATGGTCTGTGTTGTAACTACTGAACACAAAAGCAGCCGCAGACAGCACATCAGCGAATGCGTGTGGCTGGGTTTTAATACAACTTAATTCACAGAAACAGAGAGGAGGCTGTAGTTTGCCAGAGAGATCTTCCTACAGCCCGGCACTGACCCTATCACCCTTCATCTGTTCACAAATCTGGACCGCTCCATGATTACTTACAGAAAGGCTCTGCTGCCTCTCCCAGCCCTGTCTTCCTGCTCTGCCATGGCTGGCCAGTGTTCCCTCCTAAGTCTCTCTGCACTGACTTGTTGCCTGTCTCCAGTCTTCTTCTCCTGAAGTTCCCTCTAGGCTTTAGGTATTATTATAGACCTAATACATCCCCAGTATAAAACACTTTGAACACAGAAAAATATGGCAAAGATAGTAATAATACTTAACATATTTTTAGCACCCAGCCAGCCAGAGTTATTTTTTTTAAAGATTTTATTTATTTATTTGACAGACAGAGATCACAAGTAGGCAGAGAGGCAGGCAGAAAGAGAGAGGGGGGAAGCAGGCTCCCTGCTGAGCAGAGAGCCCGATGCGGGGCTCAATCCCAGAACCCTGGGATCACGATCTGAGCCAAAGGCAGAGGCTTTAAACCACTGAGCCACCCAGGCGCCCCCAGCCAGAGTTATTATTACAGAGTTTTTCCTTCCAGTGTGATTGTTTTCTGTGCATTTTTCTATTATTAAAATAATGCTGAATGTGAATTTTGTATTTTTTTCTATTAATACATTGTAGACATTTCCTAGGTCATCAATATTCCAAAAATACTAAATGACAGCATAATATTTGGTTGTGTTCATTTTGGTTGTGTTCCCTAATGGGCTCTTTGCTCAGTGGGGAGCCCGCTTGTCCCTCTCCCTTCCACTGCCCCTGCTTGTGTGCACTCTCTCTCTCTCTCTGACAAGTAAATAAAAATATATCTTAAAAAAAAGAAGTTAAGAAAGCTGTTGTCTGAACAGGGAGAGATGCCTAGTGCAAGGCTGTGGGGAGAAAAGTTACCATGTCATGGCATAGTGAAAGGAATGGCTTGTTTTAAGGCTGAGCTTGTAAACAGAATTATTTTGACAACTTATGCATAATGATGACATGCATGATAATTACAACTGCAGAGTGATTATTATATAAAACAATATTTAGTGTGCAAACTTAGGTTGCTTGCTATGAGTTTTTTTTTTTTTCATTTCCTTTTTGTGTTACACAGATACGACTCAGGTGATTAAGTAACATTCTAGTCAAAATGTAGTCAAAAAGTAACATTACTAGTCAAAATCTAGTAATTCCGAGAAATTGTACCCAAACGGAGATCTGTATGGTGAGCAGTTCACATTATTAATCCACAGGATCACAGAGCCTTGCCATTCAGCTGCAGCTAGACAGACCCTTTCACTCTTTCCCCAGGGGCAAATGCCAGGATCCAGTTTTCGGAGGGTTGCCTGTCAAAGTTAATATACCTTTATATACCTTCTATGTACTTCTGTAACCACAGTGATGACACAGGAGTCTTTCCACTCCTCCTGAAATTTCTCTTCTGCCCCTTGCCAGATAATCCCCACTCCTATGTCGCACCCCACACAAATACTGGTCTGCTTTCTGTTATTGTAAATTACATTTTTAGATTTTCAAATAAGTGGAATCACACAGTATGTCCTGTTTTTGCATCTGTCGCTCAGATTTTTGAGATCCACCCGTGATGCTGCCTTTCTCCATAGTTCATTCCCTTTATTACTGAGTATTGAATGGATGGGGGTGCCACAATTCGATTATCTCTTCACTTATTGATGGACTTTGTCAGTTATTGGCTAATAAATGAAAATACAGATTTTTTGTGGACATAGGGTTTCATTTCTCTTGGGCAAATACCTAGAAGTGGAATTGCTGATTTTTATAGTATGTCCCAATTTTAAATGATGTCAAACTATCTTCCAAAGTGGTTTTCCTATCTTACATAGCCATGAAGAGTCTGCAGAGCTCCAGTTGCTTCATATCCTCACCAATATCTAGTATTGTTAGTCTTTTTAATATTTCCTATCCTAATGGGCATCAGTTATAAAGACTGTTAAGTTGTTGGGTTTTTTTAAAGATTATTTATTTATTTATTTGATAGGCAGAGATCACAAGTAGACAGAGAGGCAGGCAGAGAGAGAGGGGGAAGTAGCCTCCCCACTGAGCAGAGAGCCTGATGTGGGGCTCAATCCCAGGACCCTGGATCATGACCTGAGCCAAAGGCAGAGGCTTTAACCCACTGAGCCACCCAGGCACCCCAGACTGTTTAGTTTTAAATTGCATTTCACTAAAGCTAATGGTGTTGGCCATCTTTTTATCTCTTCATTTGCATTCACGTATCTTTTTTGGTGAAGTATTTGTTCAAATCCTGTGACCATTTAAAAAATCTGATTGTTGAGGCTCCCGAGTCAAGATGGCGGAGAAGTAGCAGGCTGAGACTACTTCAGGTAGCGGGAGATCAGCTAGATAGCTTATCTAAAGATTGCAAACACCTACAAATCCAACGGG